TTTCTCTCTCATTTTCTTTTTGCTGGAACATTTTTTCCATTTTAGAAGACAAAAGGTATTATATAGTGTGAGTAACCTGACCTGGGCAAGAACTACTAGTTACTAAGGTAAGACTAGTACATTAGGTGTTGTTTCAGCTGCAACTTTCCACCTATCTTCTACTAGAAAATCACTAATCAAAAAAATAAAATTTTAAAACTCTTGACAAGATACAAGAAATGCCAGTATTTCAGGTAAATAATGCTATTTTTGCATAATAGATAAAATAGTTCATACACAAAATCAAATATGACATAATTTATATATAAACAAACAAAATATTGGGTTGTTTAAGGTTGTGTTAGGRGTTGTGGTAACATTTAGTTAGTGGCGGGACTGCCTCTGCAGAAGGAGGTGAGGGACTGTCCCTTACCAGACAGAGACAGATCCACTGCAGGAGACAGCTGAGCCCTTGAACCACTCTGGTGGCACCTCTAGGGGAGCTTATTTAAGAAATGGAAAAGAATGTGGCACCTCAGTGTCAGGAGTGAGGAAAAATGCATGAGGAAATAAACACCAAGGAGAGAAAAGAAGAGGGAAGAGATTGTTCAGGCACCAAAGCATCTGTGGAGGAGACCAGGCTGGAGCAGATATTTCTTTGCAGGCCACACTGAAGGAGATATCCACCCTGCAGCCTGTGGTGGACCCAGCACTGGAGAGGTAGAAATGTCCTGGAGGAACCATGGGCTGTGGAGGACTCAGTCTGGAGCAGGTTTATCCTAAAGGACTGCAGCCCATGGGGGAGATCTACAATGGAATAGGAAATAAATGAGAGAAGAAAGGAGTGGTACAGATGAAGTGTTGTGAACAGACCACAAGTCACATTCCCCACCCCCCTGCACTGCTTAATGGAGAGGAGGAGGTGGAGGAGTCAGGAATAAAGGAGTGACACTGACTAAGCCTGGGAAAAAGGGAGGGGTAGAGGGAAGGTGTTTTAATCTGTCTTCCTTTCTCTATATGCAAACCTGTTTTATMTGGCAGCAAATTAAATTAACTTTCCCCAAGTCAATTCTTTCTTGTCCATCACAGTAACTGGCAAATGCTCTCCCTGTTTATATCTGGACACACACCTTTTTTCATTTTGTTTAGTCCCCTCATCCTGCTGAGGAAGGGCTGTGAGAGAGCAGCTGGGTGAGCATGTGGCAGATGGCAAAAGTCAACCCACCACAGAGAGAGACTAGGGTTTATCTTACAAGTTAGATATCAACTAGTTTAAAAATTATTATCAACCTAGATTTTTTTTTTTCTATTTTTTCGTGTTGTCTGCATGTCACATATCCTACCGTCTCTTTATACACACAGTAGCAGCTTCAAAAGACTCATTGCCTGTGCTCACCAAAAGACTCAATGCCCTTGAAACTATATTTTGTGATTCTGTTGGCAAATATTGTCAGAAACTTCTAAGTGATACCGAGTTTGTGCAGAGCTAGGAGTATAAAAAAGAAATCACAGAAATCTTACGTGAAGAGTGTTTTAACCTTGTACATTATATTTTCTTTGTAAAACGTTAGTATGCAACAGATAAGAAGCATATTTTGGAATGGGTAACTTCAGTCATGAAAATGCATTTTTAAATCAAGTCAGGGTCCTACATCAAGTGGAACTGTGCTTTCACGCATAAGTGGTTGTATTTTTTTCCCCTCTTTGTGTGAGTGTAAATTTGTACACTGTGAGAACCAGGAGTATACTCTTCTTGATTTACAAGTATTAGTTTGGCCTTAGTTTTAGTTAAATTTATATGTAGATATTAAACTTACAAAATGCAGAGCACTTTTCCCTATTTGTCTTCATTCCAGTATTTAGGAGCATAATATGCTTCTAGGTATAGTACTTGCAGAGAGTTTTGGAAAAGAGCTCTCCCAATGCCTCCCACAAAGGAGAGATTAAGTGGTTCAGGAAACTGCAGGTCTGAAAAATTYTTCCTTGACTAAGTGAATCAACCATGATCATTAAGCATTGTCAGAAAATTAGGTCACAGATAATRTAAGCCAATTTTCTGCAGAATTCCATTCAGGAATAAGTTAATTTAACACTTGCTTTTTTCATGTTGTAGTTGCAATGATAAAATGTCCATGGTCAACAGTGGCTTCATCTTTTAAATCTTTAGGATGATTTGAAATGACTTTGTGTTTCTTTTCAAGCTGTTCCAATGCATGACTGGAGTTCTCATTAGAGTGATCTTCATGCAAGGCCTGCCTGCTTCCCAGCTATCATCCACCTCCTGCTTTCCATTTTTGTCTATAGTAGAGCTGCATCCGGCAARCACTGGCAAACACGCTCTGTGGTTACTAATTACTTGGGCTGATTTACTTAGTTRTGTGTTCCAGCACAATTAAGTCCTTTCTTTTCCTATTGTATCCACCTCATTATTAGTAATAATCGTGACATTTATACTGTAAGTGGGATGAAAGCATGAAAGGAAAACTTTGTAAGTGTAGGATCATTGTGAAAGGGATGAATTGGTACTGAACTGTGAAGACGAATTATGACATGTGAATATGGATTCAAAGGTTTTGTTTGTATTGTCTTCAAARTATTTTTTGAGGAATGGTTTCAAGGTCATAGACCTACCCACAACTGTGTTAAAATATGTGTGCCCATGTCCACGGGAATAATAAGCAGCACATAATATGAAATATACTTCTGTGAAATAATACCTATTAARAATGTCTAAATAAGCATAAGGGATTATTTATCAAAGGAATGACAGTTTAGAAGCAAACAACAATAAGCAGGAAATAGTGAAAATGCTTTTCAGGGACTTTACTTTGACAAGACAGTTAGCTATCCTGAAGTGAGTAGYAGAGTAAAACTAGCCCCACTTGTATACTTTGAAAGTTCATATTTGTAAATGACTCATAAATATATGTGGGCAGATTCTTTTTTTAAACTGATGCTTCTCTCCCTAAAATTWCTAGAAGAGAAAAGTGCTGTTTAGATATTCAGTTGGAGGGATCTCCCCCCCTCTGTCCCCTTCTGCCCCGACTAAAAAAAAAGGTTTAGTTTTATCCTAAGAATTAATTTAGTAGTTAGGAAGTGTCCAGATTCTAAAATACTGTGTCTTTTGAATACATTATGTTTTAAATGAAGAAAAAAAACCAGCTCTGTTTCTAGCTCACCTCTTTGTCAAATGCCAAATCTTTGCAACTGGATCTTTTGTTGTATTTTCCCCACTTTTCACTTTTTCYTAGGTCTCCTATCACTGCCACATGAGTTGACTTCACAGAATTGTTCACAGAATTACGTTAACTATAAGCAGCCATGCAGGAGAATTATTCCAGAGAACCACCTTGTTTCTTTATCTGTTTTTAGCATCTTATGGCTTCTAGAACCAGTTCMATGAGCAGTTGTCAAGCATTTAATTATGTATTTCAGGAGACTACAGGAGTAGAAGGATGCCTAAAGCACATCAGAAATTTATTTTTTCATGCACTCAGAGAGTCCCTATGTCATATCAAGCAAGTCTGTTAATGAATCCTCTCGTCTCACAGTGGTTAGGATGGAGATATTGTTATGAAAGCGAGGTTGAACACTAATAGTTTTTAATATTAAATATTAACAGCAGTTTTAATCAGGTTTGTGTTTGGTTCTGGAATTTCACAATCATGTTTTAGAATTAGATATATTGGCTCCTTCATCATATATTGTATTGTCATGGTACTAAATGTAAGAAGAAAGGAACTCTTGGGCTTGGCAGTGAAAGGTGGTGTAGAGGAAAAGAGATTGAAAATGAAAAAAATAAACCAGCATAAATACTATTGAAATTAGTACTACAGTTTGCCAGTAAGGAATTATATTTCTTTAATATGTCTTTCTAATAAAATTTTTCATGTTAGAAAATTTTCAGCTTTAATATTATTCTTGTTGTTGGGATATTTGCTGTTGGAAAAAAAAAAAAGCAAAAACATTATAAGGTACCATCTGGTAGATATTTTAGGAGGAGAGGTAATATGCAAACCTTAGTTTTGAAGATCTRCCTGCAGCTCAAATCAGCTTAAAAGCAAAAGGTAACAAAAAGACTCATTCTAGGGCGATGGGAGTTATTAAGTCAAGTTTTGGTCTGGGGCACCTAAAATAATTAGTTCCATTAGACAGTTGGAGTGGAGCTGGCAAACCTAAACAATGCAGGTTTATTTGTAGACTATTAATAGTTTAAAATAGAAGATTCTTGCAATTAAAATACACTGATTTCTGCTTTGAGGAAAACTGCAGGTTTACTGTATTCACCGTAGATAACTGTTCTTCTTTCAAAGGAAGGACTCCAATTCCAGACCAGTAAGAGGTCTGGGATGAGCACTTCAGTTGAAAGAAGCCCACTATTGATCTGTGGAGCACTGTCTACTCAGGGATGAATAGGACAGACTAGTGAGACCTGACACTGCAGAGAATGAAGTAGAAATGTCACTTGCCTTATAATCCTGAAAAAGTGCTGTCTGTTCCACTCTTCATCTGACTTTTTTATTTTTTGAAAGGTTGTCACYTCTTGTCTGAAACAGTCTCTTATGCTGTGTCACTAAAATATGAAAGAGGGTTATACTAACTTTTAAAGGGGTCACAAATTGCTTAAGCAAAACAAACTACAGATTGCTGGAAAGGATGGAAGAAAGTACTATGGAATATTCCTGGTGGTAAATGGCTTTTTTTCATAGTGCCACATAGTTGCATTTTGCCCTTAACTGGAGTTATTCTTCTTTGAGTTTTCACTGCTTTTTTTCTGTGCAAGAATTTCTTGAACTGTTTGTTCCATTATTCATTTTGGATCCTGCTTTTCTGGCAGCCATCGCAGATGTTTTTCTGAAATCTGAGCTCTTCTTTAATTCACTATAAAATTTGTGGTGGGATTAATATCTCTCAGATGACCTTTTAATGCTCTGGCAATGCCTAACTCAACCTGCCATTCTATTAAAWCTTTTCAGAATTTAATGAAATGGTCTCAATTTTTTATTTATTTTTTGTTGTAGGTTTCATATATACTGGAGAAGTTGTGCATCGAATGCTAACAGCTACTCAATATATTGCACCCTTAATGGCAAATTTTGACCCCAGTGTGTCAAGAAATTCAACAGTCAGATACTTTGATAATGGTATGTAGCTGTCACTGATAAATAAATGTCTGTATCCCTTGGCTCTTCCTATTTTCCTAATAATTATTTTTGAAGGAAACATTGAGGATTTTTTAAATTTTTGKTTTGTATTCTTTTTAATTTATAGGCTGTCTAAAGCATGTGGCTAGACATCTATAAATAGTGATTAATTTAGAACACAATAAAGAGTCATGAATTYGTTTTCTTAATTGAGTAGATATCTTCTGGATGTTGAAGTATATAAACTGAAACAAGCAATGTGTTTTACCAGTTTAAAAAGGAAAAAAAATCTGTCTTATATAACAGTGTAAATTCCTGTTACTTCAAAATATATATAGTGAGTACCATCTGCCCACTACCTAAAATAAAAACAGCATTTGTGGAGTGCTATASCAAGAATACACAGAAGCAGGGCAGGGATAAGGTTAATAAACCTGTCAATGACTAAGTGTTCATGGAGTCCCAGAATTGGAATCCAATACACTCATCTACTTCATGAGTTCTCAACAGTTCCTTGTAAAAAAGATTGAAAGAGGAAAAGGCAAGCTGCAGTGTTGTTCTTGAAGCTCTGTAAGAAGTTTCAAAGCCCTYGAATGTGGGGATATTTTTCTCTTGAAGTTGGTTGTAATCAATATTTTAGAAATATAGTCTGTGTGCTTAAAAGGCATCTTGTGCCTCACCTCAGTCATTTACTGATCAACTGCAGTGGCAGTTAAAAATTAGAGAGWTTAGCATCATGACTTAATACCATGAGATCCATGACTTCTAAATCACCCTGGATGATTTTATGTTTGTTTGTTTTATAATTTTGGCACACGCACCTGTACCATTTTATGTATGCTTATTTATAGTGAATTTGAGCAAATGTTCAAATGATCAAAAACATTTCATATTTCCAATATTATTTTTTATTCTTTAAATCAGTTATCAAAATGTATTCTATAGCTTTTACACCTAGTCATAACCTTTCCTTACAATCTAGTCATTGCAATGTTTGTTTGTTAAAAATCCAGTAAAATACTTACATGAGCAAATCCTACTCCTTGCAAGAAGACTTTTGAAACAGAAAATAYATAATTTTTACTCTGTAAATTATTTAACATTATGGCCAAAGATTTGTYGTCTTTACTTAAATAATCTGAGGATTCTGGAGAAGATGTTGCTAATTCTCATTGTARACTGAGACTTCCTGACTTCCAGTCTTCACAGCACTGTATCCCACTGTATCCCATGGCTTCCACGACAAGGTGGAACAGTTCTTTTGAGATTTTGGATTCCTCTTCATGTGTAATGCATCATCTTTTGAGCTCCATGCACTTTAGAACAAAGAACTTTCTATCTTTTACAYAAGTAAAAAGGAACTGAGCAGATTTGTGACTTCAGCACCTTATTTCTTACTCATCCGTGCTCTGTCCCCATGAGTAATTGCTCCTCTGCAGAGCAGCATCTGTAGTGAGCAAGCACAGAATGTGGGGATCCATCAAAGTCYCACTGATGTACCCCACTGAAAGGAACTTAGGTGCACACAAATCTGCCTAAAAGCCTCTGGAATGAGATGACATTTGGATGGCAGCTGATTTCCATTTTAGCTTGGGGTTCTGAGGTGCACATAGGTCTGAAGTACTCAGTGTCTGACTAGAGGAAATTCTGGCTAATTTTGCTCTCATAATTTTAGAAGCTACTTTGCATTTAGAATTAAATTTCATACAATCAAATAAATMTTCAGAAAGTAGTTAATGAAGTGGTCACAAAGGAAAAAAAATGCACTGTGTGCACAATTAATGAGTATCTACTATATAGAAATACACAAGRGGCAATAAAGTGTTGGGCTTAGAGCAGTGTGGGCCCAAAATTTGCATGCTGATAATTTCATGACAGCCCCTGTCAAGATATGCCCATGACAGTTACAGCACAGAAGATCTGTAACAAAAGATTTTTCAAGGATATTTCAAAAATATATTGAGCTGAATATGTTATGACCCATCACAAACATTCCAGGAAGAAAGGAAATTAAAGTGYGAATCAAAGCACGTAGCTCCCATTACTGCCAAAAAGAGAAGTTGTTGAGGAAGTCATATAAAGATGAAAATGTTATTTTCAGTAAACACAGTTTTGGGGATATGTCTTTCGACATCTGTAAAACATGCTCACAGGGTATACAAGTTGCTTGAGGTATATTTTTAGTGTGGTAAGTGGATATTCAGTCAGTGAACTCCCATGAATATCAACAAGGCTCWTGGAACTAAATCTCTGCATACCAGACTCAATATTTACCCTGTCTATGAATTCTTAGTGAGTTTGATTTAAACTATATTTATTGCCAACACCTAATATTTTTCAATTTGCAGAACATCAGCAAGGGCTTGCACCATGCAGGAAAAACAATAATGCTATTTAATTAATGCATAGTTAATGGAAAAATCTGAATTCTTGAAACAATAACTTGTACTAAGCAGGGAATGCTATTAGCACTTCACATTTCAAAGTTGACAGGATTTATGTATTTAGTTAAAGAAAGCTGCTGCAGAGTCATGGTAATGGCAGCAAACCTGAACTGCTGGATCCTGCCTTTAATRGTTGTTGATTTCTTGTGCAATTTCAAGCAAGTAACTTGGCCACTCTTGCTTTAGCAGTAGTTGAGGTGCTTGTGTGGCAGTATGGTGTCTATATTYAAGAGGATTTCACTTGCAACTTGTGTTTGTTGTATCTTTGGCATTTCAAGGCATGGAGCTGAAAGTTGCTGAGGAGAGACAAATCACTGTTCATGTTTTGAGTAACTGCAGTTAAGTGCTTTTCCTAAAGTCAGTTAATGTATTTCTCACATTTTTTTCTTCCTTCTGCCTCTCTACCCCCACTCTGGGGTTCACAGGCACAGCACTAGTTGTCCAGTGGGACCATGTACATCTGCAGGATAATTACAACCTGGGGAGTTTCACTTTTCAGGCCACCCTTCTCAATGATGGGCGTATCATTTTCGGCTACAAAGAAGTAAGTTGAGTCTGAGAACTGTCATTGCAGTGGACAAATTACTTTATATATGTCAGGAATGACACTACTTTTGGGGGGGGGGGGAGAAGATATTTGAAAGATCAGTTATATATGATCATTTCATTACATTGATTATAAGACCACTATTTTGATGAAAATTATATTTGTAAAAGTGATGCTCCTGTGATGGACTGAAAAACCATCAACATGACACAAATGTGCCAATCCTGGATTTCAGATKGGCTCTTTTGGGTGGTTGTGAGTGTTAAGTGTTTAGTAAATTCCTGGGTTTTTAGTAAATTTCTATTGGGTTTTGAAAGATAGGGTCTAATTTTTTCAATTAGTTCACCCAATTTTGACCTGTTTCAAAATACTYTAGAATCAATGGTTATTGTTAAAAGTGCACTTTTTTCCTGCAGCTGTCATTTTTTAGCAACTCACATATTTTAAAGTTCATATATTTGAAACAAGGTTTGTATCGCTAGCTCTGAGGTTTTCCATCTGGTGGTGATAAAAGTGCTTAGATTGAGGCCATTTGGTTTGCCTCCATAGCACCAATATATTGTCTTGAATGGGCTCTTGTGCATTCTTCGAGTGTTTCAGAATTCCAGTTGTTGCTTTGAGTGATTTTTTATATTTTTTGCTAGACTTGCTAGTGTTCTGGAGCTATAGCCTAGTTGAATACCAGTGCTTTTTCCARGATAAGCTGGAGCAGGTGATCCCTGACACCTCTCAGTCTGGTATTCTGTGATTCTGTAATTCAAACAAATAAGAATCAGAAAGTAGACAAGAKTAAATCTCTAGGGACAAAGAATAATTTCTTCTTTTTTGTTTGTTTTTTGGTTTTGTTTTATTTTGTTATTTTAATCTCAGTTTGGCATGCAAACTGGGACTCTSTCTTCAAGATGCAAGTCTCTGTTATCCTCCTTGTGGTAAAAAAACTGTAATGAGTGATACAACTGGTTGTCCAGACTTGGAGAAATCTCTCTTCTCTCTCTGCTATAAAACCTTTGTGAGGCTTCAGGCTCATTTTTCATGCCTGTCTTGGAGCCGTGCACCTTTAATGAAGCAGAAACAATAACCCTCCTCTGCCCTTCACTAGCAAGTGGACAGGATCTGGATTGTTCTACTGGCAGCAGTCATACCTTCACTGGAGACAGATTGGAGAAGGGATTGCTGCAGGATGTTCATACTGGATCAGTATTGTAGAAAAGAAAAACTTCTGGGATGCCCACATACCGGCTTTCCTTGTCTTGTAAAAGAAATGCTGATGTAAAGTCTGCTTAGGTCTTTTTTCTGAATGTTAGGTGCAGGCTATGGTTTTCATTATGAAAATGCAGTTTATTTGGATTTTTAATCCAACCTCATGTACGCTTTACTCTGCTTAGCACAACAGAGCTCCRTTGTACTTGATCAAAGGAGTGTGCACTAAAGGTTTTGGTTCTCTCCTGTTGTTGAAAACCTTTTAAAAGAAAAGCAAAAACTTGTAAAGACTGCAGGAAATTTCCTGCCTTCAAGACCCAGAGAAGTGGGGAGGGACTCTAGTTTTAAGATAAATTTGTGAAGAACCATATGTACATTAGGACATTAAAAYGTGACATTTTCAGGAGACTTCTATTCCTGGTTACGAGATGCTCTGCACTCCCTGTTACTGTCCAGCCCTGTGCAAAGTGGATATAATATGGGCGATAGAAGTTGCTGCTCTAAATTGAAAATATCTCATGTACGTTTTGCACAAAATCAAATGATGATACAGAGTGTCAGGTAGTGGAAAATATTAKTCATTTAGGAAGACAGGAGTAAATGGGCCATCCTTYACCATGAGTGGTTCCTAGAATTGCATGCAAGCATGACATTTGATCCATGGATAAACAATTTCTGTGCTRCAATGCACAGGCTGTTTGCTCTCATTACACTACTGGAAGCTTCCTCCAAAACCACATTGCTTTTGTGCGTAGGAGTTATTAGTGTTCTTTTCATTAATCTTGAGACAGAAAACTGGAATTTAAAAATGAAATCATGTGCCTTTTTCTACTGCTGAATMTTTTAACTCATCCTCTGTCATGAGTTATTCTTGCCCTGAATGGAATTACCAAACATTGCTTTAGAGCTATGGCACATAGCTAAAGAAAGAGACTTTTAAAAGTGGTAATAGTAATGTACTCATGWTCTGTAAATCTTTTGATAAAGGGTTTTTCTAAAAATTTTAGAAAGTTACAACTAATGTATTCCATTGGAATGACGTGGGGAATGGATTTTGAGGCTGAGACTTCCAGAAGACTACACTCTATCTGCAACCTTTACTCCATTACCACTAACTCAGCTTTTCAGCTAAATGAGGAAAATTAAATAAAATTGCCAATCAGTAATCAGACAAAAGTTGTCTGAAAAGAACTAACAAGACACTTATCATTTTAAACTTGATCCTAGTGCTTATAAGTCTGGCTGGGAATTTATTTCCTTTTCAGTGCTGAATCCATTCCTTTCTGAGGAAGTCCTTCCTTGAGGAACCATTTCTCTTGCTGCTGAGTCATGTTGTCAGGTGCCCCATTAACTCCAGTAAGATCACTTGTGTAAGTGCTCTCTAGCGTGACTAAAAATTGCACAAGATTTCTACTGCCTTTTTGGTGCCATTTTATTTTAGCATCACATTCATCAAAAATGACAGTGATGTACAGCAAATCTGGGAGGTCTTCATGGCACTGTCATTGAAAGTGTCCAAGCTGAAGCACCGTGTAAGAAATGCAGCAAACAGGTTTAAAAKGAGTCCCACAGGGGCTCTGCTTAAATGACCCTAGGTGTTTATCAAGAAGAATCTACCTTTAAAATAACTGTGAATATACATTTAAAGCAGATACAATTAGGGACTTTTATGTCTCATGAACTTTAGGTAAATTTTACTTTTGTTTCTTATTTATTCAAACAATTYGAGAGTTCCTTTTTCACATCTTTCCCGTTCCCACATCAGGTTTGCTACCTCATAAACCTGGTGCTGACCACCAAGACAGGATCTTCATGGAGGTTTGCTGAATACCAAAGGAGCTGCTCTGCCCAATCTTCTGAATTCTTTTGTTTTCCCAATAGGAAGCAACCGAAAATTTCCAATTTTTATTTAAAAAAATATATAATTAGAAAAGGAGCTGAACCATCCAAAAAGAGAAATATGGAGATGTCAGAATATCTTTCAGAAGAATTAATTGTTAGGAGAAAGAGCTGTACAGTTAAATTCTCAAATTGTGGAAACAATTTGAAATAGAACAAGGTCCTATAGGAACTAAAGTATTTATTTCTTTAGCAATTTACTTTGTTGACTGTGCATGCACCTTCCATTTTAAGTATGATTTTGCTTATACCAACCATTAGTATTCTGTCAAGCGGTCAACAAGTCAGGGAACATCAGCTGGCATGAAATTTTTTCTGGTGCACCTCTACTACATATGAAATACATCACAGTGCAAACTAGCCAGCAGAACATAGTAATAAAGAAAAATTTTGGGGAAGGCATACTTCTTATGTATTAGTAGAGAATACTCATTTCTTATGTCTTAAATTCCACTGAATTTCAATTCTCAAGAGTTTTGCTTCTTATTAAACAAAACACTTATATATAGTCTTTTCCCATTAATGCTTAGAGCTAATGTTCYGTAGTGTAATATTTGCATTCCTTTTTTGTCCATGATTAATACAGGACAAATTACACAAATGTACTATAGGCCTTGTTAATTGTTTAGGATATTTTTCTTAATTTCRTTGGCAAAGGCTTTCTTTGCCCATTTAAACAGTAATGACTCTCTATTATGTAGTCATCCAGAAACAATTTTTAAAGTTAAAATATTTGCTTAAATTGCCCAATATGTGAATTGGGAAATTATTTCTAAAAGAGGCTTGTAGTAGAATGAATTTCTATTACGAAAGGAGAAAAAATTGAATGAAAATTATTAAGTGATAGCAGTTAAATAAAATTGATGTCCCTGTTAGGCATGAAGAAAAAGACTCTGTTTTCAGTAACAAGAATTCAGATTATACATGTGTTATACATGCTTGCCATTTCTTTGCCTCTTTTATTATTATCAAAAATATGAACATGGAAATGATCGTTGATTTTTGAAGTGGTCATTTTATGCAATTTAAAACTCCTGATTAATTTTCATGCAGTTTAGCCTGTGGGCTAATTATTACTGCTTAGGAAACGGACAATGAAAATCCTGTATAACCATTATTATCGTGYATTCCTAATTACTATTTTGCAACATACTCTGGATCTTATTTCATGCAAAAGATTTCACCTGTAATATGACACTCAGTACACACATTACCAATATCTTTTACCACACCTTAAAAATTAACATATGTTTTTGTAAATACAGGTGTAATGACACTGTAGTTTTTCAGGAGAACAAGAGTGTTCCTGGGTTGTAGATTGGCTTCTGCTTTGAATGCATTTATGACTTTATGATTCTTTCACACAGGCTGTTCTTCAGTTTGAAGAGCTGCCTATGCTTACACAAGCTCTTGTTTCTAAGCCCTGTTTCTAAAAGAAATTTTGGCTGCTTCTTTTGTTAGACTGGCCCCTGCTACTTTCTTGCTTGTTTTAGAACAGATTCAGCAAGGTCCTTATTCTCACCAGARTGCCCAGCAGAGGAGTGTGGACATCTGCAGGGATTTTGGCAAAATCCATTGTTACTTCTGCTTCAAATTTTTCTCGTTTTTCCTGATGTTTTTCTTTGTATTTTCTGTTCAACTTGGCTACTACATCCTGTTTAAGCACCACATATCACTGAGTCAGTCATAATTTTATTAATTTTCAGGGTCTGAACCAGAATGTAATGAAAATAAAYTTATTTTTTAAAAAAAGCCACAAACAAAACAAACCAAAACAAACTCACTTGTGGTGCTAGTACTGCAAGAACCCATCACTCCTTCCCAGAAACAAAACAAACAAAACAAAACAAAAAGAGTAATTAGCTCGCTGCTTTCATAGCTTTTTAGTGAAAGGTGCAAATTTTTCAATAATTCAAAAATACACAATAAATCATGAGATAAGGCAGTAGATTTAAAATAAAGAAGTCTTTTACAAGAAGACCTGGCTGCAATTTCTCCAGATTTACATTCACACAATACAAATGAGTATAATTCTTTTCATGCATCCGACACAATTTAGTCCTTAAGATGACAATTTTGCCAGCATATTTTGTCACACACCTACTAATGCCAATTCCAAATACAGTTTGAGTCCTTTCATCTACTGTTATCTCTCTAACTTTGAATGAGAAAGTCATTGCATTCTTCTCATCAGTGCTTTTTCTAACTTGATTTTCAATAGCTTGTCTGGAGTAACCTCCTCAAAATCCTTTAAGACAGTTTCTTTGATAATTAATGTAAGCTTTTCTTTCCAGTATTCTGAGGCTATGAATAATTCCCTCATTTTGTTTAAGCTTTCATGCTGCAGAAAATTTATAGAATTATTTCTGAACTAAGTCAGTCTTTTATTTTGAAGAATTTGAAAATATGGCTTTTGGCCTTCTTCTGTCATAATCTCCAATAACTGCAGCAGAGCTCAGCTGATACATGCCAAATTTAAGCTGATGTACTGCTAGCAGTATTTCCAAGCCAGCTCTGTTTTTCATGTCAGTTTGACAACATGCCATAAGCTTTTTTTATACCAAATCATGTATGCAAGAACCCCTAAAAAACCAGCCACTAAATTAAGTAAATGGAATGGAAATTTATGATGTTTAATTCACCAGAACTTTCCTGCTGGTRTTCTCAAATTTAGCTTTTACTAAACAGTTACCAGTGCAATTGGTAAAAAGCATAGCTAAAAGGTATTTTGGGAACAAGGAGAACTGCTGATGCTTAACTCAAATACCAGAAATCGTGCCATTAATTGACATGTAGACAGAACTAAATCCTTAGTCTCTGGATGTGTAACCAGCTTTTTACTTCAATGTTCTTCTGCTATGTGAAAAATACTGGCCAGCAATATCATTTTGGTAATTTTACACAAGGAAAGCCAGAGCAAGCTGTTGGGTTAGCTAAACTAACACCTTGTATCTCAGTTTCTTACACTYGATCCAGTTACATCTTCAGCCTAGAAATTTCTGGTTAAGTGAAGGGCAGCTTTGAAAAATAAAATATCCAACTGTGATCTGAAAGCAGCAACTGGCAGAAAGTCGTAATTGTTCATAGAAACATGTGGCTTATTCTACTCTGAAAGTACCTGCCTGAAGATTCCAATTTCTGGTTATACCTTTCTGTGCTGGAGTAAAAAACTCTTTAACTCTCGAGTATTTTCTCCATGTCATAGTACTTGTCTGTGGTAATCTAAGCAGCTTTTTATTATCCTATTTAGGAGTCAAATGGATAGAACACTGTAACACTACTGTTAATAGCATTTGAGAACTGGAGAAGTTTACAAAATATTTTATGACACTTTTAATCTTCCTTCTCTTAAYTTTTCAGCATCTTTTTAAGAAACATATCCTCTCAAAATCTGTGTAATGTATCAGCAACAATCTAGTTTTCAGGTACAAGTGAAGTGGTCACCCCACATCTAGGCTGTATTTCACTGTTTGTGTGACCAAATATCATATCAGTTAGGTTTTCTTGTTGAGATGTCTCTTCTGACTGCTGGAATTGTTCATCCATTACARTACTGAGATTCTTTCCAGAACTGCTGTTTTCTACACCATGGTCCCCAAACTCTACCTTGCGATCTTCTTTGTCTGCATTCTATTTTTGCCTTTTTTGGCAGTGTCTAATCTTGCTAATTGATCAGGGATTTCATTGTTTTTACTCTGCTAGTGCCATTTGGAGAACTGCTAGGCAGTAAATTTATATTTCCTTCCCATTCTTGGATGTAACTTTTGAATGCTGTAAAGACCCACTGTGAGTCTGAGCTGCTCCTTTAATAGTGGCTGCAGTTTGTGATCAGACAATCTAGATAACTGTATTAATATTGCAGAAATGTTACACGTCACTAAATCAAGCATCTTTAAAAATTTCAATCCTGTTATATCTATACAACTATCAGCCAAAGCTGCAATCTTGTCCCAAGAATGGAATCAAACTTTTTTCTTTATGCAGCCATGTTGCCAGCTGTGATGTAAAGCTGGATTGGTCTGTGACTATCTACATCTTTGTATTTCTTCCCCTAGATATTGGCAATTGAGCATCTTGAATTTTTCTACAACATTGGTAGCTTTTCTGCTATTCCACAACAGATTAAATATTAATATCATAGTGTCAGAGCTCTTAAAAGATAACAATTCACACAGTTTTCAGAGAAAATGCACAACAAGTTTTAAAATGTTTGTCCCAAGTTGAACTTTCACAGCTTTTGTGCTCAATAGTAAAGAGGAGGTATTGCCTCCTCCTCCTGGAGTGTTACTAGCACATCATCCCACTTTTTCTTCAGCTGAGGGAGATAATTTTTTGGAAATTACTACCCTTTTCCATTTTATCATTGGCAGTTTTTCTACGTCTGAGTGTTCTCGTAAAAACAGTATAAGAAGTAAAGCAAACTGTAATAAAATACAAATTAAAACCAGTAATTTCTATATTCAAAAAATTCTTGGCCCTGTTGTGCTATGTTGTGTAAAATATTTATTTAGGACTTCTAATTTACACTGTAGATGCTAAACGCTTAAATGTTCATTTTGGCAGGGCTTTTATTTTTAGGTTTTTTTCTAGTTCAGTATTTCATTAACATCTTCCTCTTTTGTCTTCCAGATTCCTGTTGCTGTGACACAGATAAGTTCAACCAACCACCCAGTGAAAGTGGGACTTTCAGATGCATTTGTGGTCGTGCACAGGATCCAACAAATTCCCAGTATGTAGAAATGTAGTGGTGCAAATTGTTTGGAGACTGAGAAATCAGTATAAGCTGATTCCATCAAGGATGATTAGCTGCACAACAAATCACTTAGCTAATTTCAGCTTGTTAATTCAAGTGTAATTTTATTTCCTTGATAATTCCCAATATGGCTTTTCTTGTCATTGTTTCCATTGAGCTGATAAATTAAGTAAATAAAATTAAATGGCCAGTCAAATAATGTCAAATGAAACTCTCAACTGGAGCAATTTGGTTTTAYATAAGATACTTTATCTGGAACATGCTTTCATATCCATAGTAAAGAAGAAACAATCTGTTCAGAAAATCATCTGTATCCAAAAATATCCAGGCTGGAAGCTCTTGACACTTTATTCTGTACTCCAAATTCATATACACACTTTAGAGAGAGTCAAGAAGAGGAGATGTAGTTATTAAATAACATCTTGAGCTCACCTAGTCATGGCAGCAGTATTACAGGTGACATTTAGTTTTCTTTGGCTTTAGTTATACTTTGTATGGCTTCACTGAAAACAAATAGTAGGAAAGCAAGTGTGATTTTCTCAGTGCTTTAATGTACTGTGTACAGAACCCTTTGAGGTTGTTTAGCCATTAGAGAATATGTTTTCTTTTCAAGTCTACTGGGTTTACTTACATATTTGGAGAAAATGTACTAAGTTCAGTTTTTGATAAGGCCCTAACAGCAGGGTGTGGATGGAAGGAGCTGTGTTTGATCCAGCCTCCTGGAACTGAATCCAGGACTGGTCTCTTAAAGTGAACCCTGGCAGTCCTGTGGTGCTCACAAGGACTGACCCGATCCAGACCGCAGATGGGGCTGGAAACAACAAGTGCTATTGGCCTCCCAGCTCATCCTGTCTCCTCGTCACATGTAAACATATGAAAGTGTCTTTAACATGAGGGAGCATCCATCCTATATGTCCTGACACGGGGAGTATGGAAAATATCAGTAGCATTTGTTACTTGCTGTGAGCTTGGAGTAGTGTGAAGGATGTTAGCATGCCCAGATTTCACTTAGGAGACAAGAAATTTGTGTCTGAARTATAATGGGTAGTTGTGATGTGCCTGTGGTTGCATGGATTGGTTTTGATTGTTTAGGAACAACTGAAACTAGGCAACGAATTTCAGTAATGTGAGTGATATTTGCAAGCGAATGATCTGAATATTTCTGAATCTTCAGCTTGTGAGAGCTCCAAAGATGGATTCAGATGGAAATTAAGTTGATTGATTTATGCAAATCGTTTAAGAGAATAGCCACAGAGACAGTCTATCCAAGTGATGCAACAGGATGCAGGTCTTTGGACCTCAGATGCCATAAGCAAACACTGAAGGACTTGTATTAGATTTACATATTTTGTATGGAAAATATATGAGTCTTTATTCAAGTCTGAATGTTTCTTTCTGTAGCGAAATTTCAGACAAGCATTTTGTTTTACTACCACTAAATGATGTTGGTTTTGATGAATGCAGAGTTGCTTGCTAGTCTTCTGGTTTTAGCATATCTATAACTTTTTTTGTCACATGACACCTTCTGCTGACTGAAGTGAGACTATAATGTGGGTAAAGAGTGTAAAAGGTGCCACTGCTGCAGCACTTTTGAGAGCTTTATTAATGTATTACTGTTTGCAGTGCGTTGCTTTTCCCCCTAACTACTGGTTCTGGGGATGGTGGTAATTCATGATTATTTTTGTTAGATTGCAGCTTACACTAGAGCTAATATTAATCAAGGGAACCATCACTTCACAGTAGATTTTCCTGAAGCTGAATTGTGCTGTSAATGAAATAGGTTTATACTGATGTGTACAKGCAATATAATAGCACCTTGACAGARCTGGTAAATARTASTGGCCAAKAGAAAGCCAGTAGCAGATGCTCTGAAAATATGCATGTTCTTGAATTCTTGCTTTTCAGAGGCATTAAATCAGCTATGGCTGCAGTTGATTACTGGAAAAGTGATATGACAGAATTGTTGTTTTACTTTGTTAGTTTCTTAAGACAATAGAAGAATATACATTGTTGCTTGTCCCAAAAGAAGACAAAGAAGTATTACTGCTAGTTTTGTCTTACCACTTTAGCAAAGATTTTTCCATCAAAAGAACCCAGTCTCCCTTTATGTTCATGGCTAATTATTAAAAAAGAAAAAAAAAGCCAGAAACCTCCCCCTTAAAAAAATACAGAAAAACTACTCCAAACTCTACTGCTTCATCTTTGGGCACTGTCAGTTTTGTATATATTGTGTATTTTAAAAGGAAAGAGGCACTAAGTGCAGCACAAGCCTATTTGAACGAATATATTCCCTCAATTTTTAAAATTGCTGAATGCCTTTGGTGCATTTTTTATGCTCAGTATTCTAAAATTTCAATATAACAGACCTAGTCTATTAAAGCAATTTCAGAAGATTTACAGCTGTTTATCAGATTYTTTTCAGATGTACTGTCCAAAACATTGGTAATAACTTTTTTAATAYGTTTGAAAGGTGAGTTCAAAAGCCAGGCAAACCTATTTCATTCTGAGGAGAGCAAAACATGCTTTTTGATCAGCTATTTCATTTCAAAAGTGCATTTTAATGAGTGCCAAAAAATGTCCTCTTGAAGAGCCAAGAGCTAAAAAGAAGTATTTTCTGAATTTTTTTTAAATGGAGCACCTTGAGAATTTCATACCTATTTTTATTAATATACTCCTACATATAAGACTTTGCAGTAATATCCCTTTTATCTGCACCTAATAGAATACAGGCACATACATTTTTTCAAATTATCTTTTAAGAGTTAGAGCATGGAGATGGGAGGTTTTGGCAGGTGGMTTTCTGCCTGTTTTTGCTTGATGTATTTCCTTAATCTGCTACTACTTCTTGCATATAAACAATTTCTTTATTTTCAGATTATATTACTGGCAGGTTGGGCAATATTTTATATTTTAAATCTAGATACAGATATGCCTGTACACACTCTAGAGGTGTTTCGGAATGAATGGTAATTGTGAAGGGAAATAAATTTCTGCTTGAGGCCAAGGTTAACCAATAATTCTGAGATTTATATGACAGAAAATAGGCAAACTAAGTMTTTTGATTAATTTCAGAGGAAAAGTTTCAGCACTTTCCAGGTAATTCAAATGAAGTGAGACAGGCTCTGAACYTCTGCTTATGATTTGTAAGTTGGAGGGACTACTATTATTTCTTCTTCTTCAGACAGSCTGAACACTCRYGCACTGTTTTTYCTTTTGGAACAAAGACACTAAGAAWGTTTCATGGATGTCTTCCAGCTAGAAACACGATTGGTGATGATGAATCTGGGAGTTTTACATATTCCTCCAGCAGGTCTTTTTTAAACACCTTCACTACTTCAGGACCTTTGTTCCTTTCCCATTGCAGCCACCTCCTCTTCCCAGTTCCCTTTCATTTCTTGTTTTTTTTCTTCCATCCTTGCTCTTCTGTTCTTGGTCCTTCTTTCATTTGCCTGTGGTGTCCTTTGCTCTCCCTTCTGCAGACTCCCAAGATCTCTTTTTAATTTCACGTCCATCTTCCTTCCCCTCCGTTTTTCCACTCCCTCAGGGTTAATGTGCTTCTTCTCTCCTTTGTTTCAGTGCTTTTCCCTATCGTCTTTCAATTTAGCTTTTTGTTGTGCAAGAAGAAATGAAAAAGCATTTCCTGCAACCCACTTTTTWTTTTAGCAATAAAAAGCCCACCAGAGAGCCTTCCCATATTGTGCTGGTTTTCCACAAAACCATGAAATACACTGGTGAAATGAAGAGTGCCAGATTCTGGGGATCTACACAGTGAATTACTAATCTTGCACTTAGAGATGAAGGGTAGTAGGTTTGTCTCCACAATGAGACAAACTTCTCCMTGTTCTTAGCCTCTACTGTATTAGATGCAGCTCTTTTAGGAAATCCGTGCCTTGACAACTCAACATTTAACCACACTGAAATCATTCAAAAACACTGTGTACAAAAATGAAATTGTAGCTGACCTACGTGTTAGTCATATTCCAGTTTCAGTGCAATTAGTGTCACTCAAGATGTAGTGGAACTCAAGCATATAATTAAGTGACAACTCTGCATGTTGTAAATATTTCCTGAAGATGTCTCACCACTTTGTTTACAGCTCTGAAGCTCCTGAAAGAACCTTAGGATTACCTTCCTGAAGGGTAAAAGACYATTGCCATTTATGCTCTGGTATCTATTATATAAAGGTGTAGCACCACCTGGGTAATCACAAAGTCTGATTTCCTGCTGGAAAATTTTAATTTCTTTACTGGCTGTGTTATCCTTTGCCTCTGTGCAGCATAAGCCCCAAAGTTATCACTCTAAAGTCACAGTATTTATTCTTCTTTCCATTAGTGTAACTGATCCCACAGAGCCAKGTGCTCCAGCCCTGCATGTTTGTCTGCTGGTCCAAAAGGTTTTATCCAGGCAGCTGGGTTCCTTGCACTAGGTGTCTAATTCAGGAGCATGCTGTTGATCTTTGGTGGCGTGTCAGTACTTCAGGGACTGGTACAAGTTGATTAAAGTTTAAAATCGTCTCATAACTGAACACAAATCTCAGAGTGAGGCAGTTTGGTGCATGGTGGGACTAGGGAATAAAGCAAGAYTTTCCCACCTAGATCCTGTACTAAGAGCTCCTTAGCTGGCATTAGCTGGTTCCTTAGCTGTCCCAGACTGGGCAAATCTGGAATGACATTGARAGTTTCAAAGTAAATCATGTGTGGTTGGCACAGGGCACTGGGGCAGAACAGCTTTTAGTACATTGTTATTGTTCATAAAGAAGGTATTTTCAGAGCCTATTTCACTGGTTTGCTTGTTCACAGATTATAYGTCTTTGAGGTGCAGCTCCCAGCTTTAAGAGGGTTTTTAGTAATTTTTAAGAGAATGATAAAATTAATACAATTAGGGAATCTGAATTTTTATCTAGATTCAGATATGTGTAATATTCAGTGACCAATAGCAATGGTGGTTGTGTTTGGATTACAGGCGTTGGTATTTGGTCCCTGTGTCAGTGCCTCAAAAATTAATTAGTTAATCTGATAATTTGAGCAAAATTAAGCAGTTAAAAACAAAAAACAGGTTGCTCTAACATTCTCATTCCTTCACCTATTGTGGTGACAGCAATCAGACATYCCAGGCTGACAAGTTTTATTCAGCCAATGATGTCAAACAAGTCAAGCAAAGTCAGGGGCTGTATAGCACAGCAGCTGTGCTCCACCCTACTCTGTGCCTTATATTTTCCACAAATTGCTTGCAGCTTGCTGGATATGTTTCATATATTGTTTACTTCAAACTGACTTCTGCATAATCAAATGCACCCTCTTACCATTTGTGTTTTCTCAATCAGCAAGGCTTAAAAGTGAAAGTACAGCTGTGTGAATACATATGGCCTTGTKTAGCAGTTATTTCTGGGTATATGGCCAATCCCAATTCCCTAGAAATCTTTGAYAAAAGTCTTTATTTGTGTGAACATATAATTTAAAAACTCTGAATTACTTCTCCAGTATTTTCACCTCTCACTGTACTGCAGTTTTTAGCTGAGGAATGGTGTATGATGAGAAGTGATTGTGTAATGGAAAAGATACARAGAGATTATGCATCTGTCAGACAATATTTGGAATGGTTTGTTGCGAGCTACTGACCCTTCAGACAAGTTAGGAAGTCTTTGATGCTGTCCTGGCACTGCTGCCTCTCCAGAGCACTCTCCCTCTCTAGTGYATTTAGTCAACTCTCACAGTTGTGAGAGGAATATTTCATATTATTATATTTCATGGAATATTTATGTTCCATTATTTAGTTTAATACTACTCTGATAAAAATACACAGAAATATTTTGTCACATCAGAAGCTTGCTCATCTATAATTTACCAACCCATTGCTTAATCCCTTGACAGGATTCTTTCAGATGGCCTTCTGACCCACCATGTTATCTCTCTAGGTCACTGAGGAATGYTCGTACCTCAGGTAGCTGATGTTTTCTTCAGGATTTTCTGCTGGGACTGTACCTTTGACCTTGTGTTCAAAGATAGCACAAGTACATGCCATGAAAACAAACCAAAGAACAACTTTGAACCATGCTGTAAATTAAACCAAATATTAAAAAATATATAGTCTGCTATTGAAAAATATATTAACAGTTATACRATTCAGTTATAAAGTTTCCATGATTAGGATTCTATACACATATTTTCTGAAATTCAGAACCAGTAATGGTACTTCAAAAGCATGAAAAAAGTTCTGCTAGTCTCCTGATTTAATGTTTCTTTTCAGCAAAATACCTGCACACATTGTTTAAATATTTATTTGTTACTGCCTCAGATTATCATGTCAAGGTGTATACTGAGGTATAGATGGGTTCATAAGCTCTTTGTTATTCTGCACTAGTGCTGTTTTGTGAAAGAGCTAAATGTACAGCATAAGACAAAGAAGAACAAGTTCCATCTGAGTGAAAAGCAATGTGTCCTGGGTTGTAGCAGGAGCGTGTGAAGAGATTGAAAGAAAAAGCATCAGACAAGAGTATTCATTTTTCTGTTTATCCTGTTGAGTTTTGCTCTTTTTTGCCAGTTTTGTTAAGGGGAACAGGCTCAGGATTCTAAATAGGGAGAGAAAAGTGTTTTGAGGATCTAAGCATGGCATGTTTAAAACATACTTTCAAAAGAATATAGACTTGCATAGTTTTTCTAGTCTAGTCAGTCTAGTTTTTCTAGACTGACCATGAAGATAAATTTGAATGCTTGTGTTTCCAAGCGCCTKTCTGCAAGTATATACAAATATGTTAGAAGGTGACTATGCAAATACTTCTCTGTGCTTAAGTTTCTTATATTAGATAGATGCCTCATATTCAAGCTCACCATCTGTGGTTGACATGGTCATCTTTCTGAAGGAAAAGGGCAAATTTGAGTCTGTCAGGCAGTGAGATTTAATGGGATCAAAAGTCATGCTGAAATAGGAATGATTAGATTTTTTGTTCTATATATGATATAATTCTTTTAAAAGTAGTATTTTTTCAGAAGTATCATTGCACTGGGTGAAGTAAAAGTGCCTGTGCCCTGACTCACTGATTCTTARTGAGTCTTTAGAAAGCCAGAAGCTCCTTATTTCTTGTAAGCCCTGTGAAGAGCCTGTTAGGAAAGGTTCAGCATTAACAGGATTATAACATACCAGTTTGTACCAGCACTGATGAGATGCAGTTCAAATATTCAAATAGTGCC